GCGGCGGCGCCCGCTGCCCCGCGGTGCCATCGCCGGTTCCGCGCTGTGTGTTTCAGAACATCGACGACGGCACCTCAGACCGGCCGTACAGCCACGCCTTGGTGGCGGGCATCGACCGCTACCCGCGGAAGGTGACTGCTGCCATGGGCAAGAAGAAGATCGCAAAGAGGTCCAAGATCAAATCTTTCGTCAAGGTGTACAACTACAACCACCTGATGCCCACCCGGTGAGTGCGGCCGGCCGTCAGGGCAGGGACGTCCCGACTGCGTTCGGTGGTCTCGGCTCTTTGTTCTCCAGTGAATGCTGGGGAGCTGCCGCGGTGGTTAACGACGGGGCTGAATGAGCTCGGTGTGTGCAAAACGGGCAAAAACGGGCTGGGGGTGCGAGGCTGAGGGGAAATATTAGTGAACGTCTGAAGTGAGGCTGCTGGGTTTTGTTTAAGCCACAGCCACATCTTTATCAGGTGTGTCAATGGATAAGTATCTGGAACAGTCAGGAGGGTCTGGTGTGTCGTTTGAGCTGTTGTGGCCCAGGGGTGTCTGTTCTGTCTCAGTGGAGCTCCTCTAGGTGCTGGCTGCTAAGGATAATGTGCTGGGCAGAGCAGCTCAGCTCCTGTGCATTGTGTAGCCGTGTTGTTTAAAGGCTGCTTTGAACATCTGTAGGTGGCTCCCAAACCTGAGGCAGCCACAGACCCCCAACCCGTCATGACTTGGTGTGATGGGTCTGGGCTGCCCCCCACAGCTGGTCCCAGCTGAGCTGCTCTCTTGCCCAGGTACTCTGTGGACATCCCACTGGACAAAACTGTCGTCAATAAGGACGTGTTCAGGGACCCTGCTCTGAAACGCAAAGCGAGACGCGAAGCCAAGGTGAAATTTGAGGAGAGGTGAGTTGAAGTTGCCTTTGCAGTCCCTGGGGTGGGGGCCACAGCCTGGGCCTGTCCTAGGTAGGATGCTTCTGACTCGAGTTTCTCACTACGTTTTTGGTCGAGCACATTACTGCTCCCCTCTGTGTGTGCACAGCTCTGCTCAGGGCTGGGGAGCAGTTCTCCAACTGCTGTGGCCTGGCACTGGTGTTTCTGACAGTGCCACAGCCCCTGCCAGCAGGGCCAGTGAGGGGCCCGAGGCAGATCCCTGGCATTGCCCTGCCAGCTCCCAGCTGGGCTCAGGACAGGGCACCTCTGCCCGGGTGCTGCAGTTGAGGGAGTGCTCTGCAGGTTTCTGTGCAGAAACTCCTTCAGTGCTGGGGCTGGGTGGGTGCAGGGGCCCATGGGCAGCCCTGGGCGCTGCTGCTCTGCAGCACTTACCTGTGGCCATGGGCTGCTCTCCAAGGAGAACCCTCTGTAGGAGGTGTCTGGTAGCACTGCCACGCACCACCCTCCTGGCTTCTGCTGTCACAACTGTCCTTTGCCAGGGGGCTTATTGAGGAGGTTGGGAAGTGTGTGCTTCCCTATGCCATGGCTCTGGAGAAGATGGACTGTCCCTGGGGAATGAGTCGCTCCTCTTGCTGTGGGAGCATGTGGACAGCTTGGGCACTGCTCCCGTGCTGATTGCCCCTTGGGCCAGAACCTTCACTCACCCTTGTGTTCCTCCCTTTCCAGATACAAGACAGGCAAGAATAAGTGGTTCTTCCAGAAGCTGCGATTCTAAAGGGGTAATCAGGCTGCATCAATAAACGTTAAAACCCGTTTTGTTTTGCTGTATATATAAAAGTGTTGCCAGACCTTTTTCTCCTCGGTGTTGATGTTCTGGGCTGTGTCTCTGTAAGAGCTGGAAAAGTTGTGGCAGTTCCTGGAGCTTCAGTGTGCTAGGGGAATGTTGAGGGGTGGGGACTGTGTGTGGACTGCCCTGAAGCACGGGTGCATGTGCCTGGGCAGGAGCTGCTCTTCTCCCTCCTGCTGCTGCTGTCATTCCTGTGGTAATCCCGGTGGGAGACAGAAAGTGACTCCTTCAGTCCCTGTGTCTGCAGCAGGGCGATTGTGCAGTGCCTTGACTTCAGAGTAATTTAGATAAATTTAGCGTTCTTCATCTTGCAAGTGACCCTTCCCCGGCCCTCGGGGAGCAGGGGCGGGGGGGCGGAGTGTTCGATCACAGACGGAGGAGGGGGAGTGGGTTGCTTTGAGGCCTGGAAAGGAGATTCCGTATCAGCATCGACTGCGATCTTCTGTCCCCGCCCCGGTGCCGCTGGGGGGCCGAACGGTTTCCCCGGGGCGGGGCCGGACGGCGAAAGCGAAAGCGAAGGGCCACCGGAGCGTGAGGCCGCGCCGCGGAGATGTCCTCGGGGGAGATGAGGGGCCAGGCCCCCGGCACCGGCGGAGCGGAGACCGGAGAAGCGGGGCCGGCCTCGGAAGGCGGGGGGTGCAGCGTGACTGAGGACACCTCTTCTCTCCAAGACTCCTTCGTCTATCTGCCTCTCCCCGAGTCTCCGGAACGGGCGGTTCCCCAGCTGACCGCCGAGCAAGCTCGGCAGGGGATCGAGGGCTGCCA